TTAATTTTCAATTTCCGCCACACGTAAAATAGACTGTCATCCTCAATATTTCCCGTCCAATTATTTCCAAGGCTACGTTGAAATGATACCAACTTGTCTTCTGGAATTTTAGTGTCCAAAAAGCGGAGATGTTGATTTATTTCAGTTTTCGAAATTTCCTGCTGAATTTCCTCTGTAGCAGGAGATTCTAAATTGTTACGAACAGTTTTACTATAATAATCAATGTTATTCGGATCCCAGGGATGAAGTCCACATTTTCGAAATCCATTCACCAACATACTTGGTGTAATAGTTTCAGACACTTTTTTCAAAAGTGGATAAAAATGTTCTTTTTTCAGTTTTTCACGACAATGTTGAGTGCGCCCATCATGGACAGCTTTTTTCCAGGTTAATTTGAGGGATGAAAAACGGCTACGTCCAGCGGCTGCAGCAAATGTGTTGCGTTAGGGAACAAACTGATTAACACAATCTTGTGTTCTCTGCAAAAGTTGCTCAAAGATAGGGTTAAGTGAGAATAGTGGCCGTCGACAAAAAGTAAAATAGGAAATTCGATTCCTTTTTCTACTATCCAGGGATAGAATATGTTAGCGATGTACTCGTAAAATGTTTCCCCTGTCATCCAACCTTTCTCACATCGTTCTATGCCCCAATGTTTGGCCACTGAAGTTGTTGGCGGATGATGTTACACAAGCGTGTTTATTATTATTTTTAGCGAGCTACTTGTGGCTTGTACATGGAGTGCGTTTTCAAAAATACGTCTTAAACAAGGCCTTGTATAACGAGTCGTTCTTCTTAAGATCGTCGTCGAATAAAGCTTGAAAGTCATCGAAACTAAGACGAAATTTAAAAGGAACAAGGCGCAATATTGTCCGCAGACGGTGGACGAGATGTCTTGCGGATGCTTCTTTTATTTCATGGTCAAGTTGAAAACTTTTTTGTCGCATTTTGAAATCTTTTTCATCCATTTCAGTTTCCTTTCTTTGAGCTGCTATTTATAATTTGATCAGCTCTAATTTGGCAGATGCTACCTCATCATATGCTTTCGTCAAATTACCTGAATGCAGGGACTGCAGGACTGGCTTTGGTCTGTCTTTCCACGTATTTTTGTGCACACAAGTTTTTTGTAGTACCCGCTAATTGGTATTTTCTGGCATCCTAAAAATGAAAGGATTTATGTATGCATTACTTTATTTTATTATAATTTATAAATTTCCCCATATTTATCTCAGTGTCGTCTTCAAAATCTGACATTTGAGGAAGAGACTGTCTTCGTCCATCCTTCCAGCCACTCCGTAATGGGGAAGATTTCTTCGACTGGAGGTGGCCAATTCTCTAATCACCCCAGTCTCTTATGTTATCTTCTTACAAATAAAACAAATTTTATATTTGCGAATAATTATAGTTAATTTATTTTTACCATGTCTTCATTACCCTCTTCAATATCTGAAGCTCAACCCGTACCTGGTCTGTTTTTACTGCTTAACTGCAATTTGCATTTATTCATTAATTTAATAATTATTGTTAATTCAAATCTTACCACATCTCCAGCAGCTGTTGTTTCTCGGTCTAGTGGTACTACAAATGAAACCAAAATCAATATCATACATACCAGGTATATTTAATTTCTAATATAAAAATTGCACTTAAAACTTACACGACAAGTTATGTTTACTGGTACTGGTGACACATATTCCTCTTCATTACTGTCTGCATCACCATTGTCTAAACCAAACACCGTTCTCTCATTCATCGTTGCCAATGTTATATCAAATAATGGATCTTTATCATTGGTATCTGCTGGTCCTCCTCCCGTTTTTCTACAGTGATTTTTTTCTGCACACTCCTTCGGTACATTTTTTTCTGATTGATATACAATTTTTGCAAAGATATCACAGACCGTTGTATGCCGATTGGGCAGCGAGCATTAAAATCTTTACTTATTCCAAGCCAGCACTGCTCTTTCTCTCTGTTTGTAACTCCGTTGGTCTTTTTATTTTCAGTTATACTCTGTTGGTCGTATACCAAATTTATTAGTACACTTTTTTCGAACAGCTTTAAATCATCTGCAAACATAAGCAATTTTCAATGTTGAATAATCGACTTGACGTCATTTATGTAAATTGAAAATAGAAATGGTCCAGTGTCTGAACCCTGAGGCACCCCAGAGGTTACTAAGGCAGAGTTAGAGCAAAAGTCATTTATTTTTACTGAGTGAGTTCTATTAGTTACATACGACTCTAGCCATGACAGGAGTGTACCGTGGATTCCGATTTGATTTAATTTGAATAAAAGGCGTTGGTGATTGACGGAATCAAATGCTTTCCCGAAGTCTGTGTACACGGCATCAACCTCATAGTCACTTTCCAGAGATTTATTTATGTAATTGGTATATAATAATAGGTGTTACTGTCGATCGTCCACTATAGAAACCATATTGTTCTTCTACTATTAACTGTTTAAACTTTTCAGTAAATCGTGTAGTGATAATTTTATCGAGTAGTTTTGGAATACATGATTGTATGGATATGGACCTATAGTTTGTGACGTTGGCTCTGTAGCCTGCTTTGTGTATAGGTTTTAAGAAGCTGTGCTTCCAGAATGTAGGAAATTGGCCATTTTTAAAAGAAAGATTGAAGATATAGAAAATATGAAGACAATTCATTTGAGCAGTATTTAATAAAAGAAGGGGAAATGCCGTCAGGTCCTGCACCTTTTGTGGGATCAATTTCATTAAGGCTTTGTAGAACTTGATGGTACTTGTAAATACTGGCGTTTCAATGTTTACATTATCATTTTTTGGAAGAGTGTTCAGTTTGTAAACAGACTGGAAGTAAGTCAGAAACATGCTTGATATTTCTTTGCCGTTAAGTGCTTTGACATTATCGAGATACATAACATTGGGAATTGTTTTAATATCGAATCTCCAGAAATTGGCAGCATTGTCAACGATTCGACCGTAAACCTAAAAAGTATATATTCCTTCAATGAGCGTAAAGCGTGGTCTTGAAAGAGAGATGGAAATATGAAATCGTCGACACCGTAGAGTATTCTTGCAGTAATGCGCAAGTTAAAATTAGGTGCGGGTATTTTAAATTCAATTTTGAAGCGATGTTTCGACAAATTGACTATTTCTTCCTGTACTCATTTTGGACTCGGTCATATTTATCAAAACAAGCATTGCTTACATGTATGAAAATTATAATAAACGATAGGTCACTGTTTTTAAACGGAATTCACGAATGGGTTCATCCGGGTGAAACCGCCACAGAATTCGTTGATAGTCGCGGTGGTGCGGAACTACCAGAATCTGCCTATACATTTGTTTAATGTTGTCAATTATTAGGAACCGATGTGTCCGAAATTCTATAATAAATCAAACAGATCCTTTTGTGGTTTGGGACCTGTGAGGAATGTCGAGTTCAATGACGTCCCGCTGGGCGTCACTGCCCACGCATCAAAGACCACCCGGAGTTTTGTTGAACTACTGTCGGGTTTTAGTACGCAATGATGGGGATGTAGTACGTGTGATTTGCGAATGTCGCTTGATTTTCGTTAGAAATTAATTCCATGTGTCCGCTATCTAAATAGTCTTGCATGAACCGTTTGTACTGGTCATACAATTTTGGATCTTTCATTAACCGCTTTTCTATGTCTCACTGTCTTTGAACGGAAGTGCGACTACAAATCTCCCGGAGATAGTCCGCGAATGGGTGTTAACGAAATGTTGTTCGCAACGTACGTCCTCTGAGATGGTGAAGAATTTCGGAAACCTCCTCTATTTCCCAGAACTTGCGGACTAACGAATCTAACGGCGCATTATGAGAACAGTGGAAAACGTACTTTGAGGAAGTTTGCAAGTCGAATTTCCCAATTACGATCCAGCCAAAGTGCGTTTCAAAAAGAGCTGGATCGCGAGACGTATGTTGTGTTTTACTCCCAACAAAAATGGCTGCAAAGACATCGGCCCCGCGGGGATATTAAACTTAGGGTCCGCGAGTTGGAGATTTTGAAAATGTATTGGCAGGGGGGTTAACTACAGGCATGTCTTCACAAATCTTTTTCATTACAATCGCCGAAACTGAAAGACGTGGTGTTTCGCGGAAGTATGGCTGCACGATGCACGATACCATACTACTAGCTTTGGATTCCATTCCGTTAAGCCTAATGATAGGGGTACCGGATTTAATAAGACCGAGGCCCAGTTGTCGCTGACATTTCTCTGTAATAAACGATGCTTGACTTCCTCTGTCAAGCAACGCGCAAACGATGTGTACCTTTTTATTAACATCTTGAACATGAAGAATAATGGTTGCCAAAAGTGTGGTGGTAGAAACTAGAGGTAACGAAGTGTCAACGAAAACTGGATTTGTCGGGAGTCATAAGTCGGACGACGGTTGTGTGGTTGTGTCATTACGTGATGACCTGCCTCAATTTGCTCCACGTTCTCGAAATGGAGTAAGGTGTGATGTTGAGCTTGGCACTTAAAGTGCCTTTACACTGCATGATTTGTCATATGACTTTTGCTAATACAAATCGTATGATAAGTTGTATGATTTCAAGGAATCATACCATTTGCAGATTTTGAGTTTAGACTACTATGCTTTCTCATATGATTTTTTCGTTCGACTTGAAGCGTGGTGGGGTGAGAGCAAAGTGTCACTGTCAAACGACTCTAACCTAACCTAACATTTGGGGGAAGCGAAACACGTTTGCTTGACTTTGGATATTTTTTGTATTAGCCTCACATTAAATTTAAGAATTGTGTATAGTAGTGAAAATTTTATACAATGAATAGTGAACAAGTGGCAAAATATCAAAGTGGTTTACTGTGCTTGATTGTGGGGTTATTAAAAAGAAAGCAATCGAGACGTAATAAAGTTAAACGAACTTTATGGAATAGGAAATGGCTTCTGAGAAGAGACGAAGGCCGTGGACTTGGGTGTATGGTACTTAAAGAGTTAAAATATGAAGATCCCGTTAGTTTTAAAAAATTTACAAGAATGAGCATCGCTACATTTGAAAAATTGTTGGCCAAAATTGAACCCCATATTTCTAGACATGACACAATGTTACGTGAAAGTATTAGTGCCAGAGTCCGGTAAGGAACTATAGTAAATCAATGAGTAGGTGGTTATGTCATAATATATTACTATTTACAGGCTTCTATTGACTTTAAGATTTCTTGCGACTGGGGAAAGGTACATAAATCTGCACTATAGTTTTAGAATATCTGTACCAAGCATCTCTCTTATTATACCAGAAACGGTGGCAGCTGTTTATAAGGTCTTAAAAGATGAATATCTTGTGGTAAGTCAACAGTCTTTTAAAAATAAAATCTTCATAAATAAAACCATTTTTAGACACCCACCACATCCTCCGAATGGAAGAAAATAAGTGATGAATTTTACAAATTATGGAACTTTCCGAATTGTTTGGGAGCTTTAGGTTTTGTGCTAAATTAACATAATGCAAGACTTCCTATAATCATATCTTGTTTATTTTAGATGGAAAACATATAGCTTTCCGGGCAACAAAAAAAGATGGCTCTTTTTACTACAACTATAAAGGGTTTCATTCGATTGTTCTAATGGCACTGGTAGATGCTCAGTATAATTTTACTTATGTTGATGTCGGATGTAATGGAAGAGTTAGTGATGGCGGTGTATTTTCTAATAGTACATTGTACACAGCAATTGAACAAAATGCTTTAAATTTCCCTAATGATGAAAAACTTCCTCAGAGTAACGTGGAAGTCCCATACGTAATTGTAACTGATGAAGCTTTCAGACTAACCAAACGAATGATGAAGCCTTGGGGTCAACGTTCGTCAATTTCAGAAAAGATCTTCAATTATCGCCTTAGTCGTGCACGGCGAGTTGTTGAAAATGCGTTTGGAATTCTAGCTAACAGATTTCAAATTTTACAAAGGGATATTAACTTATCAGTTGATAAAGTTCAGGATATTACTTTGACGTGTTGCGTTCTGCATAACTACATTAAAAAAAACGACGGAAAAAGTTATCTTCAAGGTATAGATCACGAAAATACTGAATCTGTTAATATAACAAATGGTAGTTGGAGAGAAGAAGTTTTCTCAACAAGTTTACAAGCATGTACGGTTAATCGATCTCCAAATGATGCAATGAAGATCAGGTCAATTTTCACCAAATATTTTAATAAAGAAGGATTTGTGCCGTGGCAATGGGAAGCAGTAAAAAAATTTAATTTTTAAGTGAATTTATTATACATCATTTATCTCGATGCCAATCTTTTTACGTTGAATAAACTGTTTTTTAAAATGGTATAAAATATTATTTATTTCGTGCTTAGCTTCGTTCTGCAACTCTTCGTCGTCAATTCCCTGCAGCTCTTTGCTTACAAACCGACCGAATTCGCAAACTTCATCAATTTTCGGCTTCGGTCGGTTTATTTCTTCAAGCACCTTCAAGGTTTTCGTCATTATGACGTCATCTTCCGCTGAAGTTTTTCTTTTTTTTGCTCTTTGTACCGGCTTTGGTGACAATACTTGTAGTGAAGCGTTTAATCCAGAGGACATTGAGGAGGACAATACGTCGTTCGACCCACTCTCCTGGATATCCTCTAGATCTGTAACCAGATCGTTATCTATTTCCTCCAATATAAAGTTGGGTGGGCTTTGATTTTCATTGTCATGCTAAAATTTAGCATAAAACACTGCACTATTTACACCACTTACCAATACATCAATACTACTTTTACCCTTCCTAGGCTTAATGAATTGCTCTAGGAACTGCAATTTCTCAAACCACCATACTGTCGGTTCATAAATTTCATCCGTACCCATTTCAGAATGAGTACTTGCTCTAATTTTATTTAATTCGTGATTGTATTGAGATCTCAGATTTGTGATTTTTTTTTTCGCTTCTTCGACAGTTACTTTCAACCCTTCATTTTCTTTCTTTAAAGACTGAACAATTTTATTATATGCTTCTGCCCGTGCATGTTTATTTTTGTAAAATTGATGTTTGACGTCATACAGGCACGGATATTTTTCAAATTGTATTATAAATTTTTCCATAGTACTTTTCGTCCATTCAAACTAATCAAAACAATGAACACAATTTAATCATCGTCAATAGCTGTTATTTTAAATAATATACTTACTTTTTCCATATTTATTTAAAAATATTGTAAAAACAGAAAACAACTAAACCAAGCGACACACCAACAAGCACCAAGCACGAAGATTGTAAGTAAGTAAATTCGAAATTTAAAATTATCGTACGAGAACTCTCTTCAAAATAGACCCCGTCCTATTCTGGAAATTTGCTATGATTTGCTTATGACCGCTCTTATGACTTGTGTTATGGGTCAAGTAATATGAGAAATCATACAGTGTAAACACGAAAAAAGCTGCACTAGGAGAAGTCATATGAGAAGTCATATGACAAATCATGCAGTGTAAAGGCACTTTTAGACGGGCAGTCCTTTATCAAATGTGTGTTTCGTTAGCAATTAATACAACATTTGTCTTTGATTGATTTATATCGTTCTTACGGCGACTGCCCGAGAAAGGATGGGCACTGATATATCAAACGCACGGATTTACAAAAGCTACACTTATTACCCGTATTTGCTACAAAAGCGTGCGGTACGACACCCCGCTGGTGGGGTGTGTCGAGTTAGAATGGTTTTGGGACGGGGTTCGCTCGTTGCGACATTGGCCCGGTCGAAGTATTGTTTACCTCGAGGGCCTTGCATTGCCGCAACACGAAATCTTTCAGCAAATTCAACGTAGGGAAGTCGATCCCACTATTTTCTAATTCGAATCGCTTCCGAGTTGAAGCGTCTAGTTTGCTCAGCATCCAATTAAATAAGGTGAAGATCTAGTGACGCTGGTGGGTTTAGTGATCCACGAATCTGATCTATTGCCGCCAGATTCTCCGTAAAACTATTAACTAAGTTACGGAGAGACTGTGGCGAGTCTAATGTGGCTTTGTTTGCGTTATTTACAGACTGCCAATATGTGGTAACCAAAAGTCTTTTGTTTTCGTAACGATTTGTCAAACTCTCATATACTATAGGGTAATCACCGTCGCTGATCGGCAGCGACTTTACTATTGACAACGGTTCACCTGAAAGGTGGGTTATCAACAAATGAAACTTCTAGATGTTGGAATAAACAGAATTTGTATGAACCGACACGAACAAAGATAGAGGACGCCAAACCAAATGTAGGGCGTGTCGACGAACAAGTGTGTCTGCTTATTCTGGTGGATAGTTGTGGACGACTGTAGCTCGGTCCGAATGACGCAAGCTACGACAAAACAAAACGAAAATTACGATGAACGAAAGGTACGATAGCAGCACCTGCGCGGTCTATGCTATCGCGATTGCGGATCAGTCAGATCCGGCTCGAACCATATGTGGAGAATTTGATGTATTAGTCGTTCTTATATAAATTGCCGCCCCGTAGGCCTTTGTACTCGCATCGCTAAACCCGTGAATTTGTAGTTTTTGATACGGATAATCTGCAACTATCTTCCGAGAAATTTGGATTTCATTTACATGCTGTAGTTCAGCGAGAAAGTGCTCAAATTGTTTATTTAGTTCAGGTGGCAATTCGTCATCCCAGTCGGATTGTAATTGCCATAATTTTTGTAGTATTAAATTTGCTGACACTGGGACAGGACCTAAAATGCCTATGGGGTCATACACCGTGGCTATTGTGCTTAGAACGGATCGTTTAGTAAGTTTAATTGGATTATAATTGTTTTCAAATTTCTTTTCGAGAGACCTAAATCGTTTGTAGGCTATTTCCTTTATAGAACCTAAATTGGGCGGATTTGCCTTAAATGGTAAGCGCAGAATAAATTTCCCATTGGGATCTCTGCTGTGTTGTTTTACGAATACATTTTCTTCAGAACGTAAGTTTTCCTTACGGTTGTCATAATTTTCGACCTCCCAAAATTTTGTTACTTATTTGTCTAAATGTTCTAATGCACAGGTGTTTAAATTACCGCAAAATATACTATTAATCTGGATTGCTGCCGCTGTAAATGGTCCACCCAATATCCACCCCAAACATGGGTTATAAAAAAAAGTCTGTTCGTTCGACAATTTCATCCGTCCGTCTCGAAGTAGTTCCCAAAACAAAGCCGCACCAATTAAAATGTCTATAGGACTTGAAATGTTGTAATTAGGATCTGCTAAATTTAAATTTTGGGGAACCAGAATCTCGGATTTGTCGAACGTATCTATGGGATAATTTCGATTTATATTGGGGACTACCAAACATGCAATTTTTCCGGTATAATTATCGTGCAATGATTTAAAGTGAAGCGTAGTAGCATGTTTAATTTCATTGTAACTACCACAGACCGAACTTATGCCTGCATGCACAGATGTTGTAGTTAAGTTTAATCTTTTACACATTTCTTCCGTAATTAAATGTTGTTGCGATCCTTGATCAAGCAAAGCTCTACAGGTGTAAACCTTTCCATTTGAATCTGAACACTGAACCAATGCTGTTGATAAAATTACTTGAACATTAGAATTTAATTGACAATTGTTTATGCTAAGGTTTGCAGTCTGACTTTGATTATTATAATTAGGACCTCTTGATTGATGTAGTAAGGAATTGTGTCGGTTTAAACATATCTTGCACGTCATAGAACGGCAAGTTCTTGAATCATGGCCACCTTTTAAACAATTGAAGCGATTTACATATATTTACATTAACGAATTGTGAAGTAATTGCACTGTTGACTGCTATGAGGACACCACCACCTTTTAGTTTTGAGCTGATTCGACTAGACCTATCTTTTCTGTAACCGATTTTGAAATGGTACGAATAAATTTAACATCGCTGTCTGTGAACCCCACATAATTACGGTGTAAAAGTTCATGACAAATATCACATGGTATCGATGAGGTATTTTAAGATTTATTAGTGTCGGTGCCGCACTTTACGTATGGAATCATTCTTACGAACAGTAGGAAGTCAACAGGGAAACATCTTCTGCACCAAGGGGTACCTCAAGATGACTAACTAATAAACAAACAAAAGGGTCACGGATGAATAGTAGTAATAAACGCGAGAAAACGGTAGTTCAATTGCAGGAAAACTGAGGAGCAAAATATAAAGTGAACTGCACTGTATTGTCACACACGCTAATTTCCTAGCTTTTGCTCCTATGGAGACCAGTAGTAACTTTAGCTGCTGTTGATGGCTAGGTAATGAGTATGTGATAATTTTGATAATGATCAGACAAAAAGTTGTAAAGCACATAGGGCTTACAAAATTACACCCACAAGAAACATTACTTTTGGGCCACTTGCCAACGACACATAATGGCGGAAAATTTATAGAAACACATATTATCGAAAACAAAATATCGAATACATTTTACCGAAAAACAAAATATCGAATACATTTTACCGAAAAACAAAATGTCGAAAGTGCAGTTTATTGAAACACAAATTGTCTAAAGTACAATTTATCGAAAGGACAAATTATCGAAACACAAGTTGTCGAAAGTATAATTTATCGAAACACAAATTATCGAAAGGACAAAAAAAGCGAAACATAATTTATCGGAACGACAAAATATCGAATATAAATTATAGAAGATGCAAAATTTCGAATTAACGAACAAGAACGAGGGACGTTTAGTATGTATAAATTTAAAGCAACATTTTTCAAATAGTTAATAAGAAACTCTTCTGTATCTTCATATTCCCCTCGAAATCGACTTACTTTCACTTGCAATCTTTTATTTTTATCTTTATACTTTTTTCTTTGCGGTTCTTGATTACCAGCGTTGCACTGATTGATCTTAAATTCTGTAAGCGACAGTTCCCGCAAAAGTCCCTCCAAGAATTCCCAAATCGATGGTTTTTTGGCATGGAACTGATTATACAGGGTTCTGTGCCAGGCTTCAACGAACTTGTTGGTATTTGGATAATTGCAGTAGGTATAACAACAAAAAATTATCTTTCCGAAAATTGAAGTCACAGATATTGGATTTATATACAAAAGGCTTCCTTTCACGAATGGAAAAGTTTATTTCCTTATTCCTTATTTATTGTATGTATAGACAATGAATTAAAATTAATTTTCTCTGTCGGGGCTAGAGGTCCATTCTCCGCTGATTTCTGTCTTGAATGACTGCTTTTCTTCTTCCGACTCAAATCTGATTTTTAGTTGTATAATTTGTAAGAACATGATTGATATTTGATTGGGGCCTTCGTCTGTATATGCCTCCCTTACGTGGAAGGGCTCACAACCTAGGATAAATATTCTTCCATCTTGAGTCATTATTTGAATATCCGTAAAGTCATCAGAACCGCCACCCCGTAATTGGGCGTTAAATATTACTTTACGTTTTCGCTTTAATCTCTTACTGGTCCTGCATTCAGAAATATGTCCCAAAATAACCCTTTTTTAAAGTACTCCAAATCCATTTTATAAGATTCGCATCTGGTGTAATCCCAAGCAGCATCATTTTCATTTCAGATTCTCTGGAGGATTTTTCATAGTTTTACAGTTGATCCAGCGTATTCTTTGGACACTGTCTGGTTTGTCACGAGAGATAGTGCACTCCTTTATATTGTGCTTCTAGGAACACAAAGGACAGCTAGTCTCATTTCGACATTGTTCTCATGTCACTTGATGGAATATCAGCTCTTTCAGTGGAGACCCCTCACGTCTCGACAGCCGGAATTTATAGAATCCGATCTCCCACCAGGAGCTAGTTCTGTATTGAAACCCGAAATTCGAAATTTGGAAGTGAAACTCGAACTGAAACTTATCCTGAAATTCTGGATCGACACTGAAAGCTTAAAAGAATATGAAATCTGAGAGGACGTTCGCTCTCAGTTGACTAAAGGATTTCAACACCACATGTTCTTGTAAGGTGTCATATCACTCGGATTAAAGCATGAATATCCATGCTTACAGCTGTAGGGGATGTCAGGGAAACGATAAATGAAAAATTTACCTGCCGATGGATCGCAGCCTTCACGATTTTCACAGGATGAGATAGTGTGCCTCACAAAAAATACGAGTAGTCGGAGTGCCACAGTACCAAAATTTTGGAAGATCGCAAATGCGCCTTAAGCTCTGTTCATAGTGGAAGAGTCGAGCGCCGCGTCGCGTTGGCGTTGCGTCGAGCGTCGCGTAGCGTTGTGTATGATCATTCATAGTAGCAGCGTCCAACGAGCGTTTCAACGACATCGAAAGTGCGTGCGCACTTATTATTTGTGAAGCCAATTATTCTTTTAGTTCTAATATAATAAAAATGGCTCCAATGAGAGCAGTTCGTTTATGTTCATTAATGTTGTTGTTGGAGACACCGTATTGTAATAACAGAGTGAAGAAAAGGGTTGGGATTCACCCAATAAACAGAGATAGATATGTATTTGGCGAATTTCACCATTTATATCATAAGTTAAGACGATATCCAGACAGATTTTTCAATTATCTAAGAATGTCCGTTAGGACATTTGATTATTTGGTAGAAAAAGTTGGTCCCCATTTAGAAAAAACTGTTACCAACTTTATGAAGAATAGATATATTTCACCTACCGAACGACTTGTTATTACTATGTGGCGATTTTTGACGTTCTCCGGCTTTTTTTTATATTGGGGGGGTCCTTTGGGCGCCAGCTGGGTAGTTAACCCAACAAGGAAGGGGACGAACGGACAACAGACTAATTTTCAGTAACTTTATATTAACAAACGCCCTTCGCGAAATGGTACCACCTCTACGATCTTACATGCTAAGTACTTTCCGCAACTTTACGTAAGCTCTTTCCTGGTGAAGCACTTCGGAGCGATTTTCTTATGTTCAAAGCTCCCCTAGGAGATGTTACCATAGTATGGGACAGCAACGATGGAGACGGCAACGAACCACGAATCGACGAATATGGGACAGTGACGACGGAGACGACAACGAACCACGAATCGATGGGTATGGGACAGTGACGACGGAGACGGCAACCAACCACGAATCGATGGGTATGGGACAGTGACGACGGAGACGGCAACCAACCACGAATCGATGGCACCCGTACAAAGAACCTAGTTCCTCCTTCTATTTAAATATTCTAGGCCAAATAGGGACTCACCTAGCTGTTCTTGGTTCCTTATTTTGCCAAAATCTCGATTTTCACAGCAATTCACTTCGCTCAAAAAACGCTCTTCACCTCCTCTTTTTCTCGCCGCCCGTAAAAACCGACCCCACTCTTCCGCGACCTTGCTCACCGAGCGCGCTTAGATTTAAAAATCGTTACACCCCCTCAAGTTACCAAAAAAAAATTTTTTTTTTTTTTTAAGAAATGAACATAAATTGAAACTAAATAAAAATAATCCAAAATAAGTAGAAATATAATCCATAGTACTCTTGCAGTGAAAATATGAATGTCACAATCAGGTTTGTTTCGAAAAATCCAAAATAGGTTTCGGGTATACCCAGTCAAAATCGGGAAAAATTAAAGAAACTTCTACATTCAGTCCACCATGCGCTATCTTTCACGAGATCATCCAGACTTCTCCTATCACTCCATCTCATACATACTTATTTCTAAACGTCACAATCGGGAAATACTTATTAAGCGTCATCACATGGCTTCAAATCTTTTACATGCCAGCGTCCTATATCTTTGCCAGATTCGTCGGCGAGTTGATACACCAAAGGAGACACTTTCTTTGTTATGACACATTCAATGAATCTTGGAGCTAATTTAGACGAAAACTTCTTAGAGGCGTCAGACAAAACGTAATTTCGTTTCCACACACGATCACCTGCATGGTACACATCAGCTTTTCGACGTCTCAAATTATAAGAATGGCAATTCTTCTGGTAGGCTTCTTTTAGTTTCTTTGTCACCTCCTTATAAATTCGGTCCAGGTTTCCTCTCTTAGAGAGATATTGAGCGACATTCTCTTTATTAAGATCCCAGGAAGTAAAATCAGAAGGGACTTTACCATAAAACTCACCGCTGGAGGGAACATATCGGCCAAAATTTATAAATGTAGGGCTCAATCCGGTGGATTCATGCACTGCTGTTCGCAAAGCGAAACCGATTTTGGATAATTCAGAGTCCCAATGCCGATGATCTTTACCTCGCAAATAAGATCTAATTGCGGCTCCTGCAACTCGATTCACGCGCTCAACGCTATTCACTTGTGGATGGTGGCTTGCATTAAACCAAATTTTTGATCCATACTCAGATGCAAATCGTCGAAACTCATGGGATGTAAATTGCGTTCCATTATCACACGTCCAAATTTGAGGTGCTCCATAAACAAGTACGACTTCATTCTCTAAGTAAGAGATAATGCTTTTATGATCTGCCTTACGCAGCGGATGAAGAAGGATATATTTGGAAAAATAATCTGAAACCATCAGAATATAACAATGTCCTTTGACTGAACGAGGGAGAGGACCTAGAAGATCTACAGAAACAATCTGCCACGGACACCAAACTTTTTTTGATGACCCCATCAAACCAGGAACAGACATAGACGACATTTTTTGGGCAGCACAAACCTTACATTTCCTGACGTATCTTTTGATGTCGGCCCGCATTCGTGGCCAATAGTACAGTTCTTGAACACGACAAAATGTCTTAAACACACCCAAATGAGAAGCAGTCGGGACATCATGACAACTCTCTAAGACCGCATTTCTACGATGCTTGGGAACCACGACTTTCCACGCCGGAACCAGGTCATTGATTTGGGACAACTCCGGGAGGTGTTTATATAACGTGCCGTTTTCAACGCGCCAGTCTGCAAACTGCGTAGGTTTCGACGTAACGTCCTCGATCAATCCACGGTACCAGAGATCCTTTAAATTATCTTCCGCGTCAAAGTGCAACAAACAAACTTGAGGATTCTCTATTGGCGACCGGCTTAACGCATCTGGCACTACATTGGAAGCTCCTTTACGATGTTCTAAATAAAAATCGAACTGCTGGAGTTTAACAGCCCACCTCGCAAGTCTCCCACTCGGTTCCTTCAGATTATGCAGCCATAGCAGGCTATAATGGTCTGTCACCACCTTGAATTTAACACCTTCCACGTAGGGTCGAAACTTCTCTATTGCAAACAGAACAGCCAGAAGTTCTTTCTCCGTTACTGTGTACTTCCTTTCAGCATTGGTTAAAGTACGGCTTGCAAACGCAATAACAACTTCTTTGCCCTCAACATCCTCTTGACTTAGAACGCAGCCTAAACCTAAATCCGAAGCGTCGCACTGGATGGTGAAAAGTTTCTTGAAATTCGGAGCTGCCAGAACGGGCGCCTTAACTAACTCTTCCTTAATCTGTGTAAAGGATCTCTCGGCTTCCTCTGACCAAATAATCCGGTTGGCTTTCCGTTTCCCTTTTATAAGTCCGGACACAGGTGCCGTGAGTGCCGAAAAGTTAGGGATGAACCTTCTATACCAACCTACTAAACCAAGGAACCGCTTAACTTGTGTCACAGTTTCAGGTCTTGGAAACTCTAACATAGCCGAAACTTTATCCGGATCTGTACGCAGACCATCTTTATCTAACAAAAACCCTAGATATCGCAAAGAATCCCGACAAAATTTACACTTATCCAGGTTTATAGTCAAGTTAGCGTCCTTCAACCGTTTATAAACTTCTCCAAGTATATCTAAGTGTTCTTGAAATGTAGGGGTGGCAATTATAACATCGTCCAAATAGACAAACACAAAAGGCTCTAGAGAAGGTCCAAAGATCGTATCCATCAAGCGTTGCATAGTCTGAGCTGCATTACTGAGACCAAACGGTAATACGTTGAATTCAAATAAGCCTCGAGATGGCACAACAAATGCAGTTTTCTCGCACGAAGAAGGGTGCAAAGGAATCTGCCAAAACGCTGACTTAAGATCAATGCTAGAAAGATACTTCGCTCCTGTCAACATATTTAAAATATAATCAACTCTTGGCAAGGGGTAAGCATCTGGTTTTGTAACTGAATTGAGCTTTCTGCCATCGAAGCAAAAACGCTTCTCACCATTAGGCTTGTTCACGAGCAACACAGGAGAAGCCCATGGACTGGAAGATGACTGGACCACGCCTAACTTCAGCATTTGATCTAGTTCCTTGCATAAGTGCTCCAACATGTAAGGCGAAAAATTGTGATGCCTCTGCTTGATTGGGGTGGCATCTCCAGTATCAATATGATGCACCATCTTTGAAGTACGGCCTAACTTTGTTCCTTCCTCCCATGACAGTTCCTGAAATCTGGCAAGGACTTGATTAAATGCTTCCCGTTCGGAAACAGATAAATCCAACAGCGATTGAACTTGGGTATTGACAGAGATCTCTGGCAGTTTATTATGTTGCAACAGCGACAAAGATGAACTGTCCCTATCGACACAATACATATTTTTACGGTAATTCACCTCTAATCCAAACTGACGACAAAAGTCAACACCAAGAATGAAGCTGTGTTTAAGTGATGGAACTAACCACACCTTTACTAGACCGAAATGACCATCAACTACAACTGGAAGAATAACGTAACCTGCTACTTCCTGTGGCTTTCCTTCAGCTGTATCTATATTGGGTAACGGAGGATCGTGAACTGTCAGGTTGAATTTTTTCACCCACTGGATACCATCCTGGCCAAAAACTGAATTGGTCGCGCCACTGTCGAGCAAACCCGTAATGGAAACACCCAAGACTTGAACGGTTATGTATGGCCTGTTATCATTTTCACGTTTTGCTAACAACGCTTCTAGCCAAGCAAAATTATTTTCAGCGTCTGACTTTATACCGATGGACTTACGACTTTGACAAAAAATAGATTGATTAGAATGATGACAGGAAGTTAACGGACACCCACGCCTAGACGATGAAAATCGATGATTGTTATTTTGAGTAGGGAAGTATTTGGCACTGACTCTCTTCTTATTATTAAAGATGCTAGATAATCTATTGGACTCGCTATGAGAATTGGAAGGACGGCCGTAAAAATCTTCAACAACTCTCAACCAGTGTTTCCACTCTTTGGAAGGACAGCCACCAAATTCACACGACAGGGAGTGCCGACCGACTCTCACTCTCTGCCGACGAACTAGTTTTTTGAACAAGAGGGGCAGTTTGGTCTAATAAAACCTGGTCTACCACATCCTCTGCAAATTGGACGTTGGCGACGACTTGGACAGTTGCGTGAAATGTGTCCCGTTTTTCTACAATTATAACAGGTAATGTCTGAAACTGCGGCGACGCTGGCACGACGTGAGCTGTTAGAAGGACCGGCATGTGGAGCTTCAACTAAGTTATACGCCAAATCAGGTTCTAGCAAGGCAACAGAGCGTCTAGGTGGTGGTTGAAATCGCCTTTGTTGCTCGAAAGAACTTTCTAGAGTACGGCAAATGTCTGCTAACTGACGAACACACTGAATGGACATTAGTGCTAAGTGATCTTGAAATGCTGGCAATAAATTTCTTCTTATGGTCTTAAGCTGAACATCCTCTGTAGGAACTTCTGATAACCGGCCAAATAAATTCTGCATATAAGCGATATATATCGTTACTCGTTCTTGTTGCCCCTGAGTACGGTTTCGAATCTCTCTCCATAGGTCATCATCAAAGTCCGAAGGAAGAAAATCTCTTCTCAACGCAGCGGCTAATTCCTCCCAGGAATTAATTGAACCCCGTACAGATCGGTACCAAACTAAAGCTTGCCCTTGGAATAAGTCCACAGCAGATCTAAATAATTCTTCTTTCGATGTACCGCGTGCAATCCTTAGCTCCTCAATTCTCTGTAAGAATGAACTGACTGACTCCTGGGTCGATCTACCGTCATAAACAATACCCCATTTGTACACAGGCATACTTTTTACCGTCTCCACAGCTCTCGACGAATTGTCTGTCCTACCTACAGTCCTTACAACTCTGTCAACATCGCTGACCTGCTCCATTATTTGTAAGCGCATCTCCTCCAAGGACTCTACTAGAATAAGATTATCCTCCTTGTACGCCTTCTGGTCATCCTTATCTTCACCGACCTCGAATCGACGAATGCGACCCATCAAATGGTTGACCTTGGTTTGAATTCGTTTGTCCATATCCGTATTTATCCCGTCATACACACTTAACATTGTGCGTAGTTCTGCGATGCTCTGGTCCACTTCTGCCTTTTCTAAATCAAAATCGAAATTAGGTGTACTATATTGCAAATTCGGCCTGTTCATGTCCTCTCGTAACTTCCTTCGAAGATATCTTCTTTTGGTATCATGATCCAGCCGTTCCGGGTTGGCGGTTCCTCTTATTTTTAATTCATGATTAAGCTCCGACGCTTTCAAATAATTTGTTTCCATATCAAAAATCGAATTCATTTTGAATCAGTAATCGAGTACTCCAAAAAGACGGGAAACTTAAATGAATTACTATTAGAGTACTATACTGACATAAAAATGTCTCAGTTGTCCGTCCTAAGGATAAGGATGGGTAAGTAAAAATTAGAAACCCCCACTCTATAGCAAACAGTAAATAGATATGACAAAAGCGCTGCTATAGCCCCACGTTGGGCGCCAAATTTATATGTGGCGATTTTTGACGTTCTCCGGCTTTTTTTTATATTGGGGGGGTCCTTTGGGCGCCAGCTGGGTAGTTAACCCAACAAGGAAGGGGACGAACGGACAACAGACTAATTTTCAGTAACTTTATATTAACAAACGCCCTTCGCGAAATGGTACCACCTCTACGATCTTACATGCTAAGTACTTTCCGCAACTTTACGTAAGCTCTTTCCTGGTGAAGCACTTCGGAGCGATTTTCTTATGTTCAAAGCTCCCCTAGGAGATGTTACCATAGTATGGGACAGCAACGATGGAGACGGCAACCAACCACGAATCGATGGGTATGGGACAGTGACGACGGAGACGGCAACCAACCACGAATCGATGGCACCCGTACAAAGAACCTAGTTCCTCCTTCTATTTAAATATTCTAGGCCAAATAGGGACTCACCTAGCTGTTCTTGGTTCCTTATTTTGCCAAAATCTCGATTTTCACAGCAATTCACTTCGCTCAAAAAACGCTCTTCACCTCCTCTTTTTCTCGCCGCCCGTAAAAACCGACCCCACTCTTCCGCGACCTTGCTCACCGAGCGCGCTTAGATTTAAAAATCGTTACAACTATAAGGTAAGAAAAGTATAACATTTTGTTTGTTTTTATTGTTGTAAATCAGTGAAAAACATTTGAAAGATTTAGTATTGATGCTGCTGTTGCTGTTGCTGCTGGTGTGGATGAGTGATCAAATACGTCGGTTCTTTTGTAGATTGAAGTGTTTGATAGTGGCTATAGTTTCCTGGAGATAACATTGTCCAATTATTATTTTGCGTTGATGTTGACTGATAAACGTTTGAATGTTCATTTTCTGCGGCTACTAATTCATCGATTAGTACTTGTTGTATTTTATTTCTAACACGTAACTTCTGAATTGTATTAAATTTAGTCATGTAGGGTAATAAGCTTTTGAAAAAAGTTAAGTCTTCTGTTTCCGGTTCACCTGCACTATCTTTCAAATTTCGGGCTAATAACTGCAACTTCTGTTTTTCTATTTCTAAGAATTTGTCGTCTCGTACGTCACATAATCGTTTTCTATTTCCCTTTCTGTGCTGAGAAATTGTCGATGCCGCAGATGACGGTCTTTCTTCTTCTTCGTCGTGGGAAACTGTACATGAGGTCGCTACAGATGGGGGAGCTGATAAATAGGTGAAGAATCTGTTACTATGACTGACTGATTGTTTGTTCTGTCGTCATCGTCGTCTTCTCCTTCTGTATCAGAATTAACTTCAGTATCTTGAGTCCGATCAAGCTGCGGCTGGTTCTCAGACGCGGTGTGACGTCAAACTGCTTAAACAGGCGTTGCGATAGGTGGCGGCCAGCCAGTTAGTCGTGTGGGTGGGTTTCAAAAAAAGAGCAAAATTATTAGGGCGCCACGAGTTCGTTATAACGCCCCTATCGCAATCGTCTAATCCTGTTTTGCCTCCCCAAACTCGAAAAGAGCAGCTAGCAACCCGCAATGAGGGGAAAAAAAGAACAAATTTATATCTGCAGTCTATATTGTACGGTAAACAGGAAAAAAAAAGAGTCTAGTTAAATGATGATAATGACAGATAGTGTTTCTAAAATATAATCCAAGAAGATCCAAAAAAAATCGATAAAGCTTATCGAAGACCAGAAAAACAGTGAAAGTTGTACAAGGGTGAAATTGTTACGTTGTGAGATTGTCACACAATGAGTGAAACGTAAGTCAATATCAACTAAATGCATAAACAAATAAATAAGACCAAGTTGTTATTATATTTCGCGCACTTTATCGTCAACCGATGTTCGTGAACGTACCTTATATCAAACGCAGAGCGTATCAGCTGAGTCGAACGGCGTCTTATCAGTACCGTGATATGGAAATAAGCGATAACGCAACCAACCAACAAAATAGCGCTCCCAAAATAACAACCGGTGCACAAGTTATACCACAGTGAGGTGAAGCCCCAACTGCAGGACTACAATAATTAGGTAAGTTACACAAGAAAACCTAAATCAAAAAAAGGTGAATAAAATCGACAATGGCACACAAAAAAAATGCCAAAATTAAACTATTACAACGATGTTATGGTATTATCGTAATATACGCTCGCACGATCGTAGGTAGGATGGTATTCCGGGTACTTATCGTTCCGGTGTCCTCCACGTCACCTTCAGCTAGATGGAAGGGTTCTCCTCAAAAAGGATTCGGGAATCCGGATTTAAGTCATAATCGAGCAATCACAGCAAGACCCCGAAAATCGTGGCTCCAGGAGCTGCTGAATTTTCCTTTAGCGTCCAGGCAATGAAGCACCAAACGAAGGTAACTTGGTGGAAAACTCCGGGTGAGTAGTACACTCCAATAATAAAAGCCTAAAAAAAACGAAGTTCTAGAAAATTCGCCAGGAAATTGACAATGGGGCACAAATTGGTTCATTGACGAGAAAAGTTGAAACTGTGAGAATATTTAATCATTTTACCTCTGGATGGGCGAGGCTGCTTTAGATATTGAGGGTGTGGTGGCGTCCAAAAAAAATCCAACAAACGTTGCGTGCTTTGCAAGCACCTTTTCCTCCGGTTTTTTTCCAAAATCGAACACAATAAGTCGTTTGAGTAAGACCTTAGCGACAATTACTCCAAGCAATTTCACAAATCTAAACTTTTAGGTCTCTCAAAGCTAAAAATTCCGGGAACAGAATTCGCACAACCACACAAGAAGGTTAGCAAAAATTTAACGGATGAAGATATTTTTTTTTTGCCTCAAAAAAAGTGATCCGTCATCAGCAGAAGCCTTCCCGCCTTTTTAGGAACCAATTAGAATTGAGTTTATTTTCGACAAGATGGTGTCAATTCCGGTGGCGCTGTTGTTCAGTTCGAGTCAAAAATCCCTATTTCAGATGACAAGGCGACAGGGTTGCCAAAAGATGATGACGTGTTTTGTTTACAGTAACCTCAAATGGTGAACAACATAAAAGGTTTGCGAGGGACGCTATTCTGGCATAAATATAATAAGTGTAAACTATGATGGAATGTTTAATAAAACGGTATCCTATTTTTATGCCGTTACAGCGGGTAAATTTCCAGATTTGGGAGCAGGAATTAGCAAATCTTTCAAGAAGTGCATCATTTCAAAATAAGGCCAATTGGATTTATAATTCTCTGCACCATCTTCCGAATGTAGAACTGGAATTTTTTTTAGTTCACGTCGGTATTTGTCCTTTTTATTTTTCCAGCGCGCAGCAACGGTTTCCTCTGAAAAATAATATCTCTTTTAAATTATATAAACGTTTTATATTAGAGAATTTTATCGTATTTTTCTTATGTACAGGTTTCTGACAACAGGGACTACCTACAAACATTTGGCACACGAATTTAGAATAGGTTATTCTACAGCGTCAGTAATAGTTAAAGAAACATGTTCCATTATTTGGGATAAACTAGTAGATGATCATATGCCGGTTTGCAACCAACAACAATTGAAGCAAATTATTCAAGAATATTATACATTGTGGGATTTCCCTAATTGTTTCGGAGCAATTGATGGAAAGCATTGTCAAATAAGATGTCCACCTAATACAGGCACAACATATTTTAACTATTTAAAATATTATTCCATTGGATTGCAAGGGGTTGCAGACGCCAAGAAAAAGTTTCTGACTATTGAAGTAGGTTCAAGAGGATCTGAAAGTGATGGAGGAGTATTTCACTCCTCAACACTTTATAATTTGTTGGAGTCAAATCAATTCAATGTACCTCCTAACCAAGCACTGCCGAACAGTAATATTACTCTTCCCAATGTTATAATCGGAGATGAAGCATATCCATTAAAAAAATATTTAATGAGACCGTATCCACGTCCAAAAAATGGAATATTAAACAATGAGCAAATTTTCAACGACCGGTTATCACGTGCACGAAAATGCATTGAAGATGCATTCGGCATATTGTACCAAAAATTCAGAATTTTTGATACAAGTATTTTGCTTAAAACAGAAACAGCTATTACCATTATCAAATGCGCTTGCGTCCTTCACAATTTAATAAGAGAATTTGATGGAAATGACGATTTGGATTATGTTAATGTTGTTGGGCAAACTGACACACAAAACAATAGAAATCCCCCAAATCTGCATGTAAGGAACAATAGAGCATCTAATCTCGCTATCCAAATTCGCGATTCGTTTAAGAACTATTTTTGTAATAACGTAAATGAAATGGAATTAAATTGGGAAACACATAATACATATATTTCATTCTTATGTATATTTCTCTTCTCGTTTTAATATACTATAACCTCTTGTCAGCATGTACTTATTCTTAACAATAAATGACGTTTATTAAACATTGATCTGTGTGACTTACCTCACTTTTAAAATAGTATTAAATTCAAAGATATGTACTTACTTGAAATACCTAAAATAGCGCCAACTTCTGCATAGAGTCGATCCCTCAAATTTTTGTTTTTGTAGGACGTTAACTTAAGGCAGGTCTTGCTTGGATTTCAGCTATTAGCACTTCCGCAACATCCTCTGAAGAACTCATTTTGAGCACTGCACATTGCATTGCAGACGGCGCAGACGCTCAAAAAACAATCCGGATTGTTTCGCACGCTTATGCTTTGCCACCGCTCTCTATGACGCTGAGAACACCGCTCTAGAAACGCTATCACTGTGAACGTTTGCATTTGAATCCAACGCATCGTTTGAAAGCGGACGCGACCCTCGACGCAACGCCAACGCGACGCGGCGCTCGACTCTTCCACTATGAACAGAGCTTTAGGCGTTAGCACCTTCACGGGGACCGTGCAGATCCTACGAATCACAATTCTAACGAAATCAACGAAAGAAGGCTGCTAAGCGAAGCTACGAAAAAAAGAGAGCACTCTTCACCATCACTGTTCAAGACGAAGTACCGAAACAAAATGGATTCCCTTCCGCCAGCGATGCCATGGCAAGGAAGTGGCAAAATTACTTAATGCGAAACGAAACGAAAATCCCTAAACGATGTAAACAGTGAAAAATATACTGAAAAATTCTATAAAAATAAAGAATACCCGAAAATGATCTAGCAAACATTTTGAGCAACGTGGAAAACGACTAGGGGACGCGCTACGCTAACACAACAATAACGAACTTTCAGAGTGAAGCTCTGAAATGGCGCAATCAGTTCAGTTCTTTGAAGCAAGAACCACGCTGAAACGATCTGAAGGTTAAAACACTCATCCGAGCCCCTCCAAACTCAGAAAGAATCACGGCGACAGTCTGGCGACTGGGTGAGTTAAAAGGTCTAGACGAACCCTCCACCGAAGTTGTCCATCAGTGCCACCGTGCCCAACCCAACCACCCAATGCACGAAGATAACGAAACTAAAACCTAAATAACGAGATGCGAAATGTTTTAGAGGTACCAATTAAAAAAATAAAGAAAATCGATGTATTCTGTCCGCCTAATTTTTAATTCGTAACAAAAAAAACAACCAAAAAAATTTCCGGACCTGCAGGCAAAATATAGTAGCAGATATGGATGATGCAGAATTTGAAGACTATAAAAAACATTTTGGACAGTTTAGGAGCAAATATACACAATATAGAAACTGAAACAAGGAGTCAGAATGAAAATATTAAATGGCAACGTGAAAGAGTCAAACGTTTGACAGCCTCAAATTTTCGCAGAATTTGCAAGTTAAGAAAAAAACACCTCCAGAGCAGATGTTGTCAAATTGTTGCTCTATTCTAATTTTAAATATCGATACATCAAACTGCTTTGGGAGACGCAAGTTTTAAAAATAGGGGTCTGACAGACTCCGGTTATAAATAATTGCTTGAAATCAATTCTTATTGTTATAAATTAAATATGAGGAATATAAATTTGAGGTTTTTCAAACGATCTTGATAAATTGTATCTAATTTTAGTTCAAATTAACAAAAATAAACACTTGTGTTCCAAAGGTACATAAATATCCACATTTCATCCTGGAGGCCACGGGGGGGTGGCCGGTCTATGGAGATAACTTTAATTCGCTGTCGTAAGACGGGGGTCTGGAATAGCCCGGCGGGGCGTGGATTATCTGCCTTGTATCGTTGACATGCGTTGCATTTCTTGATGTAGTCACGGATGCCCGTTTTCATTCCTGGCCAGTAGAATTTCCGTGAAATTTTGTGATACGATTTCGCTGCGCATTTTCGTAGGTACCACTAGCTGAGCTTCTTCGCAATCGTCATCGGCGGAGTAACGGTATAGTACACCTTGGTTTAGAATGTAATCCCGGGAGACCCATCGTTCGGTTTCTTCTGGCGAGCCGTGCTCGTAGCTTCACACGACCTACGCTATTTACTTACGCGGGCGCCTTACCAACACTACGAGTTCCGTAATCACCTGGAGTCGGGAGGAAGTAAAAGAATACTTAAAATTAACAGTTTAATAAATTAGGTTCTATACAATGATCAGTGAGAACATTTGGTGAACACTTACTGAATATGAGTATTAGTAAGACCTTGAACAATTCTAGGTTAATTATTATTGATATTATTCTAGGTTAATTCTTTGATATTAAAGAATTCTATTTAACAGTACGCTGAGAATATCACTTTCTAAACTTATTAACTGCCTATACAAGAGCTAGCGCTTCTCGTTCGGTAGTGGAGTAATTTCGTTCGGGGGGCGTCAAGAGGCGGCTAGCGTATTCGATTGGTTTTTCTTCTACGCCCTCCCCCTGCAGTAACGCCGCTCCAAGGGCGTACGAACTGACGTTCGTCCGGAGCGTGTATGGTTCGGCAGGTGATGCTTGCCGAAGAATCGGCGCCGTGGTCAGCGCGAGCTTGAGTTCCTCGAACGCGGCGTCTTGGGCAGGTCCCCATTCCGGTTTTGCGGACATTTTCTTCAACTTTTTCCTGCATTCGGCTGTGCCGACCGTTGCGTCTACAATATTCGCACCGTGGTCGCGGTTGTGTATCACGATTCGGAGCGGCTGGGTTTTGGCTTGCGGACTTCCCATCCCTCATTGTTCCTTCGGCTTCTTTCGCGGCCGTGAGTATCCTGTCTCGAATTTCCCATCTCAGTAATCCGTAAATAGGCCGTAGAGCACCGAAACAGTCCTTGTACGCGAGCACCAAAATAGTCCTTATACGCGAGCACCAAAAGAGTCCTTATACGTCTATACGCACTGGTGGATTCGCGCACTGACGGTGATACAGTCCCTTTTGTTCTCTCGGTTCGTCACACACTGGCTCACTATAGTCGCTTCCTGGAGACGACGTCCTTCGGAGGATTCCTCTAGAGCCGGGTCCGACTAGGAAGGCGTGGTTTGGATGGTGGGAATCTGCTGCAAGAGAAGCTCCAGGCCCGGTTCACTCAAGAACGACTGCCGGCCTAGGGGATTAGTGAAAGCTTCTTCTCAAGGTCCGGTTCACCCAAGAACTACTGCCAACCAAGAGCGTTGGAGACTCTGAAGATTCGGGGATGCTACGTGCTCTTATATAGGGGTAGGTACGGTGGGAGCGTGGGCGTAGCGAGTGAGTGGGATCAAGATCGGGACGCTACTCTGGTGGTCGTTCGGCGAGACATATACAAGGGTTATTACAAGTGTGATTATATTTATTGGGATTTGTCTACAGATCTTACGCAGTAAATATATTGTCTTATTAAGATTCCTACAAACAGCATCGACCTGAGCATCCCAAGATAACTTTGGATCCGTTATTATTCCAAGAAATTTGATGTTCTCGAGATTATCTGTACCTATTGTTCTTGTTGAGAACACTAAACTAGTGATAATTAAAACTAAATATGAAATATAAACAATCGTTATCGAGCGAAAGAGAAAATAACATTAAAAACTTAGAATATCTACGAGAGACCAAATTATAAGGACAAAACTAATGATAATGAAATGTATATACAGACTATTAAATTAATGTAGATGCGACTAGGATTCTAGCGGTAGTGGACACAATTTGGAAATTGGTCTACGTAAAATGCCACTTTCGGTCTTTACCGTAGCCACGCGAATTACACCGTCAGCTCCTGGATGGAGTTCCACAACGCGACTTAATCACT